GAATGTCGTGCTCCCCCAACTCTACTGCCCACTTGGAAATCCTTCCGGAGAGTTCCGCTTTCCTCAAGATCGCTTTCAAGGGCTGATCGGTAAGGACAGTGATTGGGTGCGCCTGGAAATAATGCCGCAGTTTCCTTGCAGTGGTGACCAGGGATAGAGCCAGTTTCTCTAGGGGTAGATATCTTGTCTCTGCGTCCAGGAGCGCCTTGCTTATATAATAAATCGGCTTCTGGCGGTGCTCATGCTCACGGATAAGTACCCCGCTTACCGCAAACTCAGATACTGCCAGGTACAAGAACAGCATCTCCCCCTGGATGGGGACGGACAAGGTTGGAAGAGTCCTTAGGTATTCCTTGATTCCAGCCAGGGCGTCCTCGCACCCCTGGCTCCACATATTCTTCCCAGCACTCTTGATTGCTCCGAAAAAGGGTTTGCATTTGTCCGAGGAGCGTGAGACGAAACGGTTAAGTGCAGCCAGCATCCCTGTGAGTTTCTGGACTTCTCGGACAGTGCGGGGGCTCCGGATGTCCAGGATCGCTTGAATCTGATCTGGGTTGGCTTCGATTCCTCGTTGACTAACCAGGTATCCGAGGAATTTACCTGATTCCACTCCGAAAACGCACTTTGCCGCATTCAGCTTCAGCCCATACTCCCTGAGGGTGGAGAAGGTATCCGCCAAATCTGTCAGATGATCACAACTCCGTTTGCTCTTCACCAGCATATCGTCTATGTAGACCTCCATGGTGTTGCCGATCTGCTTTTTGAACATCCGATTCATCAGTCTTTGGTATGTTGCCCCGGCGTTCTTTAGTCCAAACGGCATCACTTTGTAACAGTAAACTCCCTTCGGAGTGATAAACGCCGTCTTTTCCTGATCCGGGGGATAGAGAGGGATCTGATGATATCCTGCTCGGGCATCCAGGAAGTCCATTCGTTCATATCCGGCAGTGGCATCTACCAGCTGGTCCACCTTTGGCAGGGGGTAGTCGTCCTTGGGACATGCCTTGTTTAGATCTGTAAAGTCTACGCAGACACGCCATTTCCCCCTTTCTTCTTTGCGCACACCGTATTAGACAGCCATTCTGGGAACTGTATCTCTCGAATGGCGTCGGCCTTCAGGAGTTTGTCGATTTCCTCGTTGACCGCGCTGGTGTGATGCGGGGCCATGCGTCGTGGCCTCTGTTTGACTGGCTTGTGCGACGGGTCAACATGCAGCCTGTGTGTGATTATCTCGGGGTCTACCCCCGTCATTTCCATCTCGTTCCACGCGAACACGTCTGTATTTCCCTTAGGAACTCGATCATCTCCTCCTGTTCGGCTGTGGGCATCGAGGTCCCAACTAAGAAATACCTCTCTTCTTCTCCCTCTACCAAGGGCACCTTCCGGAGGTCTTCTACCGACCGCTCAGTTGGGTCTATCCGGGGGTCATCCATTCCTGGACGCCCGGACTGTAATTGCTATTTTTCCATAATCTCTTCCGGTGCTCGCCCCTTCTCCTGGCTGAACGCCCCGGCTCGAACGGCTGAATAAAAACAATTTTTCGCGGACGCTTGGTCCCCCCGGATCTCCATGATACCCTCTGGCGTGGCGAATTTTAATTTCTGGTGGAAAGTGGAGTGCACCGCTCCCAACGCATGCAGCCATGTTCGCCCCATAATCACGTTGTAGGGAGAGTCCGTATCGATCACGACAAACTCGGTGTCGATGACAAAGGGACCTGTGACAACTGGCAATGTGATTTTCCCCACGGGCAGGGCGAACGAGCCGTTGAATCCGATGAGGGGTGTCCTGACTTTGGTGAGGTCTTTGGGGCCAAGACCCATCCGTTTTAAAGTTTCGGAGTACATCACCTCCGAGGAACTTCCAGAGTCTATCAAAATCCTTTTGACATCGAATTTTCCTATCCTCAGGGTCAAGACAAGGGCGTCGTTATGAGGAGTCACTACGCCTGTCAAATCCGCGTCGGAGAATGTAATGCCAAGCTCACCCGTCCTGGCCCTTTTACTTGGTGGCCCTACATCAACCTCGGCTACCTTCCTCGTAAAAGCTACCCTCTTGAGGTCGGACTCGAGTTCCTTGGACGTGGGGCGATCCAGGGGACATATATGGATGACATCTATGATGTTGTCCGGCTCCTCGGTCGGGGCAAGGGCTTGTCTCTCTTCTGGCCTGGGCTCTATGTACTCTTTCAAATATCCGTCTCGGACCAATCTTTTCAAGAACGATTTGAACACCCTGCAGCTTTCGGTGCGATGCCCGAAATCCCGGTGATAGGAACACCTAACCTTTTGATCACGGGTGGAGGGGTCGCTCTGCATCCTGGGCGGCCATTTGAAGAACGGCTCGTGCTTGATTTTATGGAGCAACTTGAAGATGGGTTCCTTGAACACAGTGTGAACTTCCTTTGGACGAACCCCCTGGAGGGGGTAGCAATCCCTTTCGGGGAATATCTTCCCGCTCCTTCTCTTTTCTCTTAGATTGGAGGGCTCGGCCTTTGCTGCTTCCCATCTCGTCCTCAACCCTCGAGTATTTGTTTATCCGGGCCATTAGTTCCCCCATATCCGAGGGAGTCTTCTTGGTCAGGGATCGGTACAGGTCCGTGTCCCTTGCCAAGCCGAGCCGGAAAGATGCTGCTGCCATGACCTCCGAGCAGCCTTCTACCTCATTAACCTCTTCCCAGTATCGGATGGCGTACTGGCGAAGAGTCTCGGATTCCCTCCTTCTGAGGGTCAGCAATGATCCAATGTCTTTGGGGCGCTTACTCCCCGTAATGAATCGAGCCAGGAACTGCTTCGTCAATTCCTTCCAGGACCCAATACTGTTGGGGGGAAGCGCCTCGAACCACTTCATCGCAGAGTCCCCCAAGCTCATAGGAAACACTCGGCAGAGAAACCGTTGGTCCGAATGATAGAGGGACATCATCTGCTTGTATTGCCTGACATGGGCTTCGGGATCGGACCGCCCGTCATAAGTTTTGAACCGCGGCACGACAAACTTTCTTGAAACCTCCATCTCACCGATCTCCCTCGTAAAGGGTGTTTGTATGACTTCGTCCTCGGCCTCATCCTGGACAGCCTTACCCTTTCTCCTGGAGTCTAACCGGGCTCTGAGATCAATTTCTTCCCTGACGGGATGCCTTCTGAAGTCCTTGAGTTCATCGGTAAGCCCCTCATTTCCTGGGCGTCGTGTGGATTGGGTTGAGTCCTCCTCGGATTCATCTCCCTTCCTCCGTCTAGACAAACCTCGCCGGAGGTCGTCCAGGGCCAATGGCCTTGCTTTCCTTGAATGGTTGTCATGATGATGCTCGCCGGCTCTGGGTCGCTTTGGGGCCCTAGAGCTTTCTGCTTTGTTGTTTAGGTGGTTTCTTAGATCCTTCGTTTTCGCCTCCCGGGCGGGAAGCCCACGAGAAAGGAATGAATCCCTCGATCCTTCGCCAGAGGCGGCAAACTCGTTGAGCCGGCTTAGGACGTTTACATTGTCCTTTTCCAGCTGTCGTAATCTATCGCCAAACTTTTCTTCAATCACCTCCGCCAGCTGACGAGCCAAGGGGGCTGATCCCCCTGACCTGATTCCCATACTGGTTTGAGGGGTAACCCCTCTTGACCGAGTAGAGGCACTTTTATTCATATCGGTGTGATCCCTTCCTCCGTGATGACAGGGAGCTTGTAACTCGAGACTCCTTTGGTGGGGGCCTTTCCCTTTCTGTCGAGTGTTCACCATGGTCACTGTTCTTTATAGAGAAAAAACTAGAAAAACTAGTCGTTTCCACAGACGGCGCCAGATTGTGCGTGCAAGATCCTGCACAATATAAAAAACGAGAACAGATCTCTCCCTTGGTGAACTCGAGTGAGCCAGTTGAGTGACCAACCACGCTGCTTGGAACAGCCTGCGAGGTCCGGTGGTAACCTGGAACGGCAACGGGAGACCCTGGGGGAGCGGAAGAACGATCCAGTAAGGCTGAAAGAGGTTCCTGGAACAAAGAAGAACAAGTTAGAAGGGCGCCGGAGTGTTTTTCGGCGTATCCCCTCCGACGATCTAGTCAGTCTTTGAGAGAGAGAGAGGAAGGAGAAAACACTGAGTGTGTATTGTAGTAAAGAGTTTTTTGTTGCATACCCGTCTTGCCTTTTGCAAGGAGTATTTATACCTCAAAAGCTCATGATTGCTGTCAGTGTAGTCAGTAGGTGATCATTAGGTACAGGCAGTGTGCGCACTGATTCTGATGAGGAATGTCTTCTCTTCTTAACTGCTCGGGGTCCCGAGCAATCAATGCTGGGTCATCGGGATGCCGACGGTACAATGTACTCCTCTCGGGGAGGATGCAATAAATGCTCTGTATTAGGAGCATTTATTGCCTTTCATTTCCGAGCCTTACCGCATTGAATGCGGTCTCATCAAGGGAATGGTGTAATTAATCGTTTGCTTTCCCAAGTCGCGTGTCAGCAACGGCATGCGGTTTCTCTGTCTTCGATGTGATATCATATGCCACGCGTCCATCCCCATTGGCTGTGGCCCCTGCATTCCAGTACGTTCTGACACTAATTGTGTAAGACGAGGTCATGATGAATAGCCTAGACTAGCCTAGGCTAATGACCTGTACGTCAATAGCTTATCCTGGAGTAGAGGAGGCGTCCAGGACGGGGTACCTCTCGGCACCGAGGAAAGGCTCATCTCGGAACCGAGGGAGGTATACCGACCGAGGTACCATATCAGACCGAGGCTACGTGTCGGTTGTAAAACATACTGAATGCCATGATCCTATATGACGAGTACCTCGGGGGCGAGGACCTTTATGCGCCGATGGTGCTTGATCTTAGCAACAGTGTTTTGGTAAATACCGAGGACACGTGTCTTCATCATGGAGTATTTCAGAAAAATCCCATCACTGATATATGTGGGTGTTATCATGGTGGTGGGTGTGAGTGGTGACTCTGGTGCCATTTCAATGCTTGTGTCGTGTGATGGTGATGGTAACTGTGTGTGTGACAAAGAGAGGAAGAGAGATGACTGTGTTGAGTCTTAAATGGTGCAATGGCAGTGTGAGGACGAGAGAAAGGATTGTGGTTGTGATGGTGGGCATTTTTGTGGTGATGGTGTTTAGGGTTAGGGTTTGGTTGACGGAAGAGGAAGACGAGGATAAGGAACAAGAAGAAGAACCTGCAATTAAACGGGTCTCTCTATGTGTCACGCGCCTAATATGTGTGTGATTTCAAGCTTTTGACACTTGTGTGTCATCATTAGGCGCATGTGACTGGCCTGGCCGTCCTGAGTCCGGACCTCACGGGTCGTCTACGGGCGGAATCTAGAAGATGTTTATTCATCTCTTTATTAATAATCAATTGAATTTCTAACCAAAAAAAATAATAATAAGAATTGTTGAATTGACAAGCAACGAGTCCTAAATTAAATTTAAATAATATTATTATTTTTTATTAAGAAATTATCAGTCATTAATGAGTGATCTAACGAGAAGATAAAAAAAATATATACAAATTAAAAAAATTTCTCAACATTATTATTGGCCGTGTTGGTTTCAATTATGAATAAATAACTTATTTTTTACTCGATTACATCCATTAAAGAGGAATAAAAAATACACCTGATATAGATCTTAGTAGTTAGTAAAATTGAATCAAAGAATATTTAATTGTTAGACAGCCTTATTTTCTATACCAGAAAATAAAAAAATCTTTATATTTATATTTATAATACAAATTAAATGGGTTATGCATTGTTTACACTAGGGTTAGTAATGTTCAACACTCAAGATGATACGACATGAATTCAACACAAAATTTAAAAAGTTAGGATCGACAAATTCTTAATACAACCTTGAAAATACCACAACATACTAACAAAAATAATATGCGTTGAATTAATGTTGATTATGAATAATCCAAATTTGACATTATTAATACGTTTAACTAATATTGTATAAATAATATGAAATATTTTTATTATTTTTTAACAAATATTGAAGTGAATCCTTGTAAACTCGGAGAGTGTTTTTCCAATTACATGGATTTTAGTTAATTTTTAGTCTATGCAAAAACAACGGTGTGGATTTGATTGAGAGATGATAGAGTCTTATTTTTAGATTTTTAATTCACGAGTTAAGCGGGTCAATCTGCATACAATTAAACATGTTGATTAGTGCTCATATATCCAACACAATCAATTAAAATGAGTTAGATTAAAATTAATTAGTATTAGATACAAATTTAAACACGACAAAACTCAATTGCAACCTAGATAACGCCATTAGAATCTGTTTATTGATCAGTGAATAATGATTATGTCGATGCTTGAGAAAAAATAACAAAAAATTGGTATTTTATTCTTATAATGTTAATTAAATGTATTAATCGTGTCAAATTGTGTTATTCACGGGTTTATATAAAAAATAATCAACTTTAACTCACTAATTTTTGTCGATTTCGAATCATGTTTTAATTTCGTGTTAGAAATTACCATCGATGCATAATCTCGTTTGTTGTTCAGTGTTATCATTGGACACCCCCAAAACTGGTTCATTGGGCAAACTGAGATATGGGCCGTGAAGCTGAACGTGCATAGCCCATTATTCTGTTACCAATTGTATGAGCCGTGGGAGAGAGAAACAAACCAAAATTGTTCTGATTATGGAATATCTAACATGACTAACTACTCTTACTGGCCTACTCTGTTGTCTTCTCTTTCTTGTCCGACTATGCGAGGCATTTTCATTCATAGATTGTATAAGTAGCATAGAAAAAAAAGTTATTTTCTCTACTCTGTAACGAAGGCTATTTCTTTTGATAAATATTCAAGAGAATGACTCTCGTTTTAGAAATTAAGTTTGAGAACTCAACTTTAAAAGAAAGACACAAACTTTTTATTAACCAGTCATCATCGTAGTTTGAATGGGAAGACCTCATGGGCTTGCTAACTCGAGGGTTCAATTTCAAGTTTCGCATTAGACACTATTGTTGATCGTTATTATTGATCTGGTGCGCATGATTTACAGGTACTCGTACACATCTTTGACTTTTATTGTTATCGCGGGTCTGCTTGTTATTGCTGTGAATGTGATGGACCATGTCACTTAATTTCGTAAGCAGTCTTTTGCCTTCCCATGAGTTGAAGAATGGACCACAAATTTCCAACCCTTAGTACTTTTGTCACTCTTTTTCAGACGCAAGGCCTGCAGAGATTGGTTGGGAAAATGAATGGAAAGGTCGACCAAATTTCATTTTCAAGGGAGAATAGAAGAAATTCTGTCTGGTTGGACCATTTCTGAACAAGCCCACTTTTCAGTAGTTGTGTTCAAATTTGAAAATAAATAATTTCACTCACGCAATGAATTAATTCGGATACACCAATGAGTATTTGGTTTAATGGTATTATTTGTCTTGTAAAAATTTTGTCTTCTTAAGGTCAAGGGTTCAAGTCACCCTTCCTCTTCCCCTTCCCCCTCCAAAAAAAAAAAATAAAGAATTAATTCGGATATTGATCCCATTCATTCTATCTTTTTTCTCGATTTTCTTTAATGTTAAATAACTCACCAAGTATTTAAGTGAACCTTACGAAATGTTAGTTGATCCCTCGCTGGTAGAAGTAGTGGGTGATTCATATCTCATAGGCCCAAAAGACATTGAGTCAATGGACAGAACGAAACAAAGTGTTGCGAAGTGAAGCGCCTTGTAAGAAGTGGATCGAATTTATTTGGGATTTCCATTGTATATTTAGTGTATGAGTTTTATTAGGATTAGGTTTTTTAGTTAGAACAAGATTAGGTGATTAACTAGAGTTTATAAATAGGTTATAATTGTATAAGGATAGTAATAGGGGAAAACAACTGCTCCCGTGAATGTAAATACAATTTTTTGCCGAATCACGTAAATTATTTGTTAATTATTCTTAATTGTTTTCTTTGTTGATCGTTCTTACATTGTAAATTTATAACGCTCACTAAATGCAATGAATAGTATATCATCGGATAAAATTGAAAAGCATACCTTATGAATATCCTAGTTTCGACGTGTATAACATACTTTTGATTGGATCAGAAATGAATTAGTTAAGGTACGCGTAAATTAACTCTTACACCCCTAGCTGTTAAAAAAAAGAGAGAGAACTTCTGTCCCTATGTGCATTGTGGCCGGTGCTCACATTTAAGTTATAATTGAAGTGTAATTTCATGGTACCAAAAAAAAAAATCAAATTATTTTATACAACTCTATGATTGATCATAAAATATTATAAATTAAGGATAATTTGTGTCTAAACGCTCGGTACAATGTAAATGATTTTAAGAGAGATGTTAGTAGTCGTTGAATGAATCTATTTGATACCGTCATATTAACTTCTTGAATTTTGCCCTATTTAGATTATAAATTGCAATTTCATGAATGACCCCCCGGTCAATTGTAATTTCATCTTTAAATAAGTGTAACTTAACATGAAAAAAATAATAATTTTATCTTTAAAAATTAGAATTTCTCTTATTCATTCAATTATAACTTTTACTTTAAAAAAATTAATTTTTAAAAAGTTATAAATTTCGATACGATAACATCTTCATAATTGAATTGAGAGTTTACACATTTTGTTTATCAGACAACGATAATGTACTTGCAGAAAGTGATACAAATTACTATTCTCTTTCTCAACTAGGGGTGTTCATCCTATTTTACGGGTAGAAAATATAGTTTTTCGTTTTCTTACGCCGATACTTTGCGAATTTTTTTTTCTTGGTCTACCCTACCCGATTAAGTGTAGGATCTTCCTACTCGATATTTTACGGAATAATTTTTTCTTGGTCTGCCATATCCGTCTTCCTATCGAATTAATCGGGTAAGAAGTCGGATAAACACTTTTGTAGCTATTAATTTTTGAATCATTTTAACAATTCACTTAAATAACATGCACTAATTTAACAACACAATAAATCAATAACACTAAAAAATCGAAAATAACTACAACAACAATTACAATAAAACATAAAAAAGTATGAACATCAATCTATCATAATTGTTACACAAATAAAATAACAATTATTTTAAATTTAAACCATATGAAATACATTAAAATCATAATTGCTCAAATAGATCGCCAGTTCACCATAAATCATGTAACCTACACAAAAAATAAGTCTATATTTTCGCAACTTAAACATCCATAATAATAACAATGTTATAATATAAATTATACCACACAAATACTCTTATAATTATTAAAAAAAATATAAAAAAGTTAAATATATTTTTTATGAGTAGGGTAGGATAGGGTAGAGTAGAAATGTAAAAATTGATAGATATTTTACATTTCTACTTGATTTAATCGAAAGATTAAAAAATCTTTCATATTCCTATCCAATTTTTACTAAGGTAGGATAAGGTCAAATAAGATAAGAAATTATGACTAATCAAAAATTTGATTAACCCTAATTTCTACCTAGTACAATTATATTTTGATATTTTGTGCCTAACCAAAACTCAAGGGTCAACTGTCGGTAAGATTGCCACCCATCGCTTTCAGGGGCATTCTCAAGGAAAGTGATGGTTGTTTTACCTTTTGACAGATGACACATTAACAAACACTAGCTTAGGGCCCCACCCTTTTGCTTGTCCAGTCTACCTTCATTCCGTATAAGCTCAATGATTTCTTGGATCAATTTATCTTGGACTTACCCCCCCACCCCCCCCCCCATATAATTTTCCTTAAAATAATTCTCGATTATTTATAGTAATGTAAAACAAAAATTCACCTATTTATTATTTCTCCAATTGTTACAAAATTAACAAAAAATAATAAATTTATAATTATAAAGTTACTTGAAATAAATATTGTAAATTTCTAAACAATTTTTATAGCTTATAGCTCTAGTCGTCCCTCTGCGCGTATGAGACTTGACTACGATATTATATTTTTAAAATTTATTATTTCAATGAGTGTTTTTTTTATAATTTTTATAAATTATTTTATAACTAAAGAATTTATCATTTTTTATGGATGATTTATTACTTTTGCCTGTATTTTTATTACTGTTATGGTAATTATTTTTAAAATTTTTTTCGATAAGACAACAGTAATAAAAATATCCACAATAATGACAAAAAAATTCATAAATGTGATAAATAAAGATATAGTATTGAATTTTTTTCCCGTACCGTAGACAATTCCTCATGTA